AACTACCGTTAAATGAGTCCACAGACATAAGTTTTGGCACTTTAGGTACTAAAGGAGATGAGGGAAATACTGGGAGGGATTCCATTGGGTTCATTTCTTCTCAGATGCCTGAAGACCCTTCCACTTTAGTTACTGTAGATGAGATCCAGGATGACAGCAGTGACCTGCATTTAGTGACTTTAGATGAAGTAACTGAAGAGGATGAAGACTCTCTGGCAGATTTTAACAACCTTAAAGAAGAGCTTAATTTTGTTACTGTTGATGAAGTTGGAGAGGAGGAGGACGGAGACAGCGATTTAAAAGTGGAGCTAGCACAAAGCAGAAGTGACCATCCTACCGAAAAAAGAGGGGATAGAAAAAAGAGAGCTGTGGACACAAAGAAGACAAAACTTGAAGCTTTGTCCCAAGTGGGCCCAGTAAATGAGAGTATTATGGAAGAAGATCTGAAAACCATGATTGAAAGACACTTAGCAGGTAGATGCCTAAAAATTGTAGTTTTTGTTTTATGAGAGGACTACATTTAAAATTTTTTAAGTATATGTTGCAGCCATTACTAACAATTTCACTGTGTTTTGACATAAGAAGCCGACAGGTTTACAGCCAGATGATATTTTCCAAATAAATATGTTCAAGTTTCACAAATTTCTTTTAGTTCAAAAGCAGACGTTACCCCCAAGGTACTATATATACCTTAAGAAAAATTGATGAAACCAGAAAGCAAACTGGAGTACCCATTAGAATTGGAATGAAAATTAATATGTTTGTATTTTTGGGAAAACATAGCTTTTGATAAATAGAAGGATGTTTATATCAGACTGCCTCCTAGCTTTTGCTTAGACTTAGGATTTAGAAAAATTTGTGAAGGTACCATTTCACTTTTAAGTAATATTTTGATGGTATAGAATAACAGGTCAGCTCACTCAGTACTTTAGGGAGATCAAAATAATTTTCAATACAAAAATCTTGAAAAATTTAACCAAACTAAGAATAAAAAATACTAGTAGGTCCCACAGTCTTGTGGAATAAAATAAAAAATACGTGTAGGCTCCTTGAAGAAAGCAGGTAGGAAGGTGTAATTTTGATCAAGATAAATGGGAAGATAAAAGGAAAATGCTTAGATTAATGCTGGATGTTTAAAAATAAAATTCTCCTATTTTAACCTAGAAATAAGTTTCCTTCCCAAATTTGAGTAATATCTATCTTGTTTGCAGGAAAAAAAAGTTAAAGTTGTTGTTCAGAATTAAAAGCAATTTAAATTCTGTTACTGTGGCAATAAAGGAGACTTTCTCTTTTTTTAAAGCTAAAGTGCCAACCAAGAGAGTTAGAATTGGGAAAACACCACCATCAGAAAAAGCTGTTTTGGCAGAACCAGCGAAAGGTGAAGAGGCCTTCCAAATTAGTGAAGGTAAAGCAGGATTGATAGAAGTGAGGTGGTTAAAGTTCTAAAGATCTACCATTTAAGAAGAAAAATAGAAAAACAGTGACCTGGGCAGAGGGAGGAGTGAGGGGGTGGGGGAAGGCAGCCTTACAACGACTAGATCTGGATGAAGATTTTTGTCTTTGTAACTCACAGAGATAATGGAACACAATGGAGTGGGATAATAAAGACAGTCCTGTTATATAATAGAATGTGACAAATATGTGGAATCCACAATAGGTTATTCTGACCGTATTGCAGCATCAAGTAGAAACCACGTATTAACTAGCTCTTATTTGTGGACCAGATCCCTTGCTTTCTGGATGCTGCCAAGCAACCTGCCAATGAATTAAATAAGATGTCTTAATAACATTAATACGATTTATGTTGAAACAAATAGGGAACAGTGTCTAGTGAGGGAGAATACTCCAGTTACCTACCAAGCATTTGTCATTGTGTCCATTATATTCATAGCAAAATGCTAAAAAAAAAAAAAAAAAAAAGTTAAAAAAAAGAAAAGCACACAGGTCCAGATCTCGAGTTGATTGATTCAGAGAGGTAAAGCAAAAAGTCAATTACTGGTGTGATTTAAACAGCACTATAAGGATGTCCCCTGTGTCATTCTCTTTGTAGCACCCTCGTTGCCCTCTTGCTTTTGTATCTTATCTTCTATAAGAAAAAACTACCAGCTGTGATTCAGTTCATTGAGTCTCATCTCAGCTGGGTCCTCAGTGCTGCTCCACTATTTAGGCCTCCTTCCTTTCCCATTTCCTAACCAGGTGTAGTAGAAACCTGAAACCCTTCTGTGTGTGTCAGATTGGATTTACTGAGTTTTTTTCTTCTTAATTTAGTCTTATTTGACTTCTCTGCATCATTTGTTACTGTTGATCCCATACTCTTTCTTGCTCTCTGCCTTGGTTGGCCAAGTGGGTATTCTTCCTTTTTCTGTTCTTTTCTATTGCTCTCTCCTTGATACCAAGCCATACCTAGTGGTTTTACTAACTGATAAATGCTTCTAACATGATTTCATGAGGGTTCTCCCCCACCACCAGAATTTCTGTTGTGACAGGGCAACTTCAGCTACCAGCTTGCTTATTAGAACTGCCTTACTTCAATGGAAGAATAGAGAGAGGATTGTTTCCTTACTGCTTTTATAACCATATTATATTTTCATTAATGGACAATGTTTGACAAAAGAACCTAGCTTAAGAAAAAGTCATTTTTTAAACGATTTTTAACTTAAAATTTTTGTTTTAACCTATTAAACTTATTATATAATTATATATAATATATTATTATTGTTGTTGTTGTTAGATAAAGGTGCCTTTGGAGTGGCAGGAGAAAATGTGTTTGAGGAAGATTATTACTCTGGTGAGGGAATAAATTTTTGTAGCAAGAGACCAGAGGCTGTTTTAACCATCAAGTCAAGAAAAGGAAGAGGCAGCTTTTTTAATCGACCATCTTTGGGCTTGGTGACTGGTAAATTCGAGGAAAAAGAGAAGAGTAAATAATGATTTCATGTTTGTAGCCATCCCCTCAGATCTGGTAAAGAGTAGCCTAATTGCATGGGGAAAGCACTGAACTTGAAGTCGCAAGTCTGCCACTTACTCACTATGCAATCTTGGACAGATCAGTCTTTTACAAAACTCTCTTGGTTTTGTTCTCTCCATCTGTGAAGAAATGGGGCTAATAATGACTTGACCTCTGTGTCTCACACAAGATAAAAGCTAAATGAATGACATATACGGGAAAGGGATTTGTCAAGTACTGTATGTACAACAGTTAGGTATTTCAGCTGCTGAGGGCAACCAGAATTGCTTGATACTAGTTTTTGTTTTGTCTTCCTCTCATCTGTTATGCAGTCTGCTAATAACATTGAGCGCCTCTTAGATGCTAATTCACTTTGCTGGGCTTGAATGTTTGTAAGGTCACTTGTGATTCTGTCTGACAAGGGTCTTAGTCCATCAGTTTAGGCTCTGTTTTTCTTGACTGGATGGTCTTCAGTACAGGGCGTCAGCATTACTGTCTGCTCGTGTCCTTTTCCCCTTAATCCACACTCTTCCCCCAACCCAGCATTTTGCATACATGTGTTAACTTGCCAGTAACATAGAATTTGAACTTCTTCTGTTACCCTTTAAATTTTTTCTGGAACTATGGATAAATAAAATATGCTATAAGCTTTAGTCCCATATCCTTAAATACATGTAATAAGATTGAACAGATTTACCCATTTATTCCTTTCATAAAGAATCTTGAAAGAGTAGTCAGATGGGATTAACCAAGAAAGATTTACTTTGAGAGATGATTATCTGTGTTAGTTGCACAAAGTAAGTACGTCTATTTTGAATAACTTTCTTTCTTGAAAAATTTAATGACTTTAGTTGATGAAGAATCTGAATTAAAGGATTCAGAACCAGAACGAAAACGCAAGAAGACTGAGGACGACTCTTTAGGGAAATCAGTGGCACCTGATGTCCCTGAAGGTAAAGTACAAATGACATTTTTTCCTTACCCATGTGAAATAATCAGTGTTCTGTTGTTTAGATGAGTAATGGGACAGCCTTGCTTAGAAGATTATTTTAAGGTGGAAATTAGCACATTGGCATTTCTGAGAACAGTTTATTGAGCTGTGTTTGTACCTAGCAAAGATATTTTTATTGCACTCTTGAAGTCTGGGGTGTGTCTCTTCTTGTATTCCTCGTACTTTCTTTGCTACTCTGGTAAAAATTGAGTTCTCCTTGCCTAGGCAGGCATTTCCAGTTGAGTATAACGTGCTAAAAAAGCTCAGCTGGTAAACTGTTCATGGCCAGCTGAGCTAAGGGGCACCTTGTTAGTTTACCCAGTATATTCTTCAAGCAGACTTGCCTGTCATTCTGCCTCTTCTTCCTGGTTTTTTTTTTTAAACAGTAGATTCCTAAGAGGTTTATTTCAAAAACTATTAGGTTCTTTCCTGATGAATTGCTATTTTGAAGAAATTCCATGACATTCTTGGAGGCACTGGAATATTACAGAATTTGTTAAAAAAAAATAAAGACCTCGGTTTTGTGATTAAAGGCTTAATTGTCCTTGATCCCTAGA